TGGAGCTGGATGAGCGCTGTGCTCCTGTGCAACCCAGGCCATTCTGTCATTCTACAATTGTATGAATTTGCTGAAGATTTCACTCCTGTCTCAGAGGTGGGCAGGTAAGTGCTCACATAAAGGGTCTTTTGATAGATCTGAAGGGTAAAGGGGTTTGGGTACTGCTGAATTTGGTAGGAGAAGAGGTCAAGGCATCACACTGCACCACAGGAGGGGTCAGTGGGGTATTAAGAAGCATTGTCTAAAGTGTGCTGATGCAGTGGCACAGCTGCCCAGGGAGTGGAGGAGTCACCATCCCTGGGTTGTTCAAGAGCCGTGGGGATGTGGCACTGAGGGATGGGGGCAGGCAGGGGGCACGGTGGGATGTGCTGGGGTTGGTAACCTTACAGGTCTTTTCCAACCTTCATGATTTTATGATTCCCTGAATTCTGCAGGTCACATTTCAGACTCAGAATGATGCTGCATGCTAAACTTGTGTTTATCAGCTCAGGAAAGGACTGCGGAGGGGGAACCACTTAAAACTAAGCTGATTTCCTTCAGTTTCCATCCTCTGCACCATGTGGTGCAGAGCCCAGGGAACACAGCTCACTGCCTCCCATCTGTGTGGACACAGAGCTGAAGTACTTTTGTGGTCTCACATCACATAGGAGCTGAAGACAGGCAGCAGTGTGCTGCCAGTTGTTGCTTTGACCCCCATAAACTCCCAAGCACAGATAAATTCCAGCTTCCTTACAAGAAAAAAAACCATTCTGCCAGATCTACTCCACAACTAAGTTAGTTCTCTGCTTCAGTTCCACTCCTGCAAAGTGGACATAATACTACCACGTACCACAGAGAGATGCTGACAGCATTTGCTTATGCCAAACATTAACAGAAAACCTCAGGCAGCCAATTCCTGAGGTAAATGCAACTGCCTGATGCTCAGCATCACCTTTCCCCAAGCACTCTACTTCAGTCAACACACCATATTCCTTACCTTGTACACAGGGTCACAGTCTGCCTCTGTGAGGTCGATGACATAATCGAGGTCTTGCTGGATGATAAAGCACGTTCCATCACCTGTGCAAGCAGAAAGAACACCAAGGAAGGAAGGAATATTGGGTGAGGAGTAAAAACAGGCCGTGTTCTTTCTATAAAGAACATGGAGACGTGCTGTGAGGGCATCAGTGAGATGGGAAAAGGCTGTAATGATTGAGAAGCTCCATGCAGGCCCTGTTCTGGGGGAGCACAAGAAAAATCACAAGGCAAAAAGCAACTATGTAATAGGAGGTTCCACTACATCACCTTTTTGCAATGGACATTTGGTTGAGCCCTCTTCTAGAGGCTTGGACATCCAATGCTTGTATATCAGAGAGGGCATAAAGAGCATAAAACTGCTCAGTTCAATTCCACAATCTCTACATAGCACTTGAGTTACCTTGGCTGGCAATGAATCCATCTCTGTACGGGAACAGAGAAAGCACTGGTGCTCCTGATCTGTGAATTATTTGGATTGGAGCACTGGAAAAAAACAAAGGAACAGGAAGAAGAAAAGCATTATGGACAAATCAAAATCCATCCCAAAGTCTGAGCGCTGAAAGAAGAATGTGAGGTAGTGATTAGAAGATACATAAGGAGAACATTAAGACACAGGGATTATCCCTACCAAAACAGCCACAAGCTTGGAGCTTATCGTGCATGAAAGACTTCTCAGGTTTTTCCATGCCAGGCTCCCCTGTCCTCCCCCATCCATCTGGATGCTCCTTGCTTGGAGCTTGCCCTTCACACCAGTAAAAGCCACCTCAGAGCATCTCCTGCCAAACATCCTCCTGAGTGCTCCCCAAGAGAAAGAAAAGATGCCAAGGGGCTCCAAAGCTCACAGTGCCACTGCCTGGGCTGAATCCACCTTCAGAAGAGGCAATGTCTGCCAGAACCTTTGATTTGACTCTTCCTCAGAGGAAAACAACCACCCACAATTGCCATTCAGTACTTGTAGCCCCAGGCATGCACTCACTTGGTGTTTCTCACATCCAGCTGATAGATGTTCCCATCCTGAGTCCCTGCTAGGAAATAGGTACTTGAGAGGAACGTGCAGCAATTGAATGCATCAGATCCATCAAAGAGGAACACCTGGGAATATAAAAAACAGCAAGTGTCACAGATGTGCCAAAGCAGCCGCAGGACAGCCAGGAATAGGAAGCAATTTACTCAGTCAGTAAGGTTGTTTCTGTGAGTCATGGCACAAATCCACAGGTAGGTTAATAACCCTCTCAACTCTGCTCCAAGATGTGTGGGAGAACAGTGCCCTAGAACCAGACGTGCCAAATTAGTGAGGTTACTGCCATCAGTGAGTGCCCCAGGGGCACTCTGGAGAAGAGATCCATCACACCATGACAGGCAGACCAACACTGAGCTCAAACTTGTCTTCAGACACAGCAGCAAGAGCAGATCTGCAAAGCAGGTTTGTGAAGACTGCTCCCTTCTCACAGAGCCACAACCGTTGCTGCAGGGCTGCAAATTACTGCCAGCCAAGCCTTTGACACCCCACTCACCAGTGAGCATCTGCTCCACTCAATTTTCATTCTCCACAAGGAATTAAATCTGCTATGCCAGAAGTTTGTGTCCTACAGCCTGGGACAGTCCTGTAGGATCTTCAGGACCTCAGACCTGCTAACTCCCTTCCCTTGGCTGGAGGGAAATGGGTCGGTGAACACCTCAGATCCCTTCACATGCTATTCAAAACAAAGAGCAACTTTACACTCCAGCTGCATGGCTGTGCAGCCCCTGAGCAGGCCACAGGGAAGGAGTGCTGGGAAAGCAGCAGCCCTGCAGACACAGCCTCAGTTCCTGCATTCTCAATGATACCTACTGGCTGCTGTTTAGTTTGCCACATACCTGGGTGGAACACATGAGCAATTCTTACTCCTCAACCCCCCCCATATATAAACCTACCCAGAAAAAAAGGAGAGAAAGGATCCCTTTATTGCACTGGCCTTTAGTCTCTCTTTCAGTGAATAAATACAGGGGAGAACACTGCAACCTGGGACCCCTTCCAAAGGCATTGCTCCCCAGAGAGCTGGATAGATAGCAGCTCCTGAGCACTCACACAGGAGCACAAAACCAGTGCGTGTGCACAGTCCTGGTTCCCATCCCCTCCTGCAGAGGGGTATTTGGAAGCATTACTGATAGTCTGAGCCTCCTTACCATCTGCCTGCTCTGCAGCCCAACTCCTTGCAGCTTCTTGTCTTCTCGAGCCAGCAGCAGGATTTTCCCTTCCGTCCCAACCTCACGTTCACCTGAGAGGAAGACAAAAGTTTACTCCAGCAGCACAGGGAGACAATGTCCTCAAGTCAGATGGTTGGGATCACAACTGCTGAAACCCCTCTTATGCAAAGCAGGCCAACAGCAAACGAGACTGCAGTCTTAACCACCCAAGCTGGAAGGTAAGGCTGAATTCCTCCACAGGGCTGCATTCTGGTGACCTAGGGAAGGTATAGGCAGCATGCCACGCTCTCTGAATTACACCTGCAGCACCAGCTGACAAAACAAAGGGGAAATAGAGGTTGTCCTTTCAGAATGTTCCTTACTGGGAGCTTTTTCAGGCGTGCCCAGGTTCACTGAGTCATCAGCAGTGCCCACAGCGATGCCGTTGATGGGGGAGCCACAGTCAGCAATGACACCCAGACAGGAGGATTTGCCACAGTCCCAGAGGCGTGCAGTGCCATCCCTAGAGCAGGAAAGGACATTTCTTCCCCGATCCACAATGGCAGTATCCAAAATACCTGCATCAAAGCAAAGGCCGTGTTCAGAGACAGCACAGAAGGCAAAGGCTGACAGAAGCATACATGTCCCAGGGCAACCATGCACCCACCTACAAGCCCCGAGGCAACGACCACAGAGGAGTCTGTGTGAAAGACAGCAGCTCCCAGTGGATCAGCATGGGAGCCAGCACGCTGCACAAGGGTGGGATGCTACCAACATCACAGTATGGCTGAGGTTGGAAGGGATTTCTACAAGTCACCTGGTTAAACCCCCTAAATTGTGGTCCCTTTCCCCCCCAGTGAGCTGTAACTTGGAGCAGAACTGGGCAATGACCTCCCACATCTCAGACTTAGCTGATACTGCAGCTCCTGCCAAGTTTCTAGCTCCAAAGTTCACCTCTAGCTTGGGCAGGAAGCTGTCTAGCCCAGCACTCCTGCAGCACTGCCAACTACAGCTCTGGATAATCCCAAAAGCTGCACAGGGCAAGCAGTATCTCTATTACCCAGCTGCAGGAACATCAAAAGAGCAGCCTTAGCAAATGCTAATGCCCCCAGCCGCTCCATTTTGAGTCCAGATTTGAAAAAAAAGCCAACAAAACCAACATGACAGTGTTTTTCTGGAAGGGAACAGTCAGATGGTTAGAAGACTTAATTAATACTTTCCCTACAGAAGCAGTCATTAAACATCACAAACTGAAATAACAGGGGAAGCCTGAATCAGCAGAAGCCAAGCAGTTTGGGCTGGAGTTCTGAAGGTGAACCTTGGAGGCATCAAACAGAGCTGTTCTGACCCAATGCCATCACACCATCACACTGCCTGCCACGTTTTGCTTACATTTGTGTGAATCTGTTTTAAAGCCATGCAATTAGATCACACGAAAACAACAGCATGTTCAGTGCAAAACAAGTTAATCAGGCTTTCAGCAGGTGGCTGCATGGCTCACAGCCCTCAGCAAAGCACCTTGTGAGACGGGGAGAACAGGAGCCTGTGCAGAGCTGTGCTATTTGCTCAGGAAAGTGGGATTTGAGCAGTGTTTTGGGCATCCCATGCTGCATCTGCAGCTCACTTGGACTTGCTCACGCTCACCCAACTGTTAAATTGGTAAACAGGAGTAAAATAGGAGCTTGCTTAAGCAGCACGTATAAATTCAGACTGCTTCTGAATGAATGGTCCTGAAAACCAAATCTTGTCAGAGATTATGTCAGAGGCTCTGTCCATAGAATCATTTGAGTTGGCCACGGTCTCAAGGCCACCTGCTCCAAATCCCTGCAGTGAACAGGGACACCCACATCTCCATCAGGTGCTCAGAGCCTGGGCCAGCCTGACCTCGCTGATCTCCAAGGATGGGAGACATTTCTGCCCAAAAGCTTGCTCTCAGGAGGCTTTCTGGGTGGCTCACCATGCCTTGCAATCCACTGGGAATAAAGTGTCAGTGGGAAGAGTTTGTAGCAATCACAGCAAACAGCCCTCAAAGCACCACAGAAGGTGGACCAGGAATCCTCTATGCAAGTAATTTATTGTCATTTTCAGCAGCAAGATCATCAAAGAGGGCAGAGCTGAATATCTGAGAATGAAGAAGCTTATTCCAGCCTCGACAGAGAAATCCTCATTGAAGCATCCTTGCAGCTGCTCTTGCTGAGCGTGGTGCTGAAAGTGAGAATGGCACCCTCAAGGCACTAACTGCCCATTCACCTTCTGCACATCTCTTAAAGCTGCTGCATGCTTTTCTAGGCAAAGGAAAATAAAAAGGAAGAGGCTCTGGAGCAACTGAAGGTAAGCATGATGAGCTGGGAACGAGCAGGAGGCACTTCCTTGCAAGCAGCAAGGCCACTCCTGCAGATCAGAGCTCCAGAGCTCCACCTCTGGCACTCACAACAGGCTGAGGGATCGTGTCCTCCCTCAGCTCATCAAGAGAAAGCTTCAGCTGTTTAACACAGCAACCACTGACCTTTTTATTCACATTCCTGGAGGCTGAAGATGTAACACACTGAGATCTAACACAAACGTACAGCACGAGGTGCAGCAGGCTGGGGACTGAAGGTCAGCCCTTGAGTGCAATGCAATGACACACACGTGGCAGGTTAAGCATTTTAAAGGCTAAGTACTCTGTACCTCCTTTGTGACCTTTAAAGGTTACTACGCAGCTGGCATCTTCTGCTGACCAGATCTTTAGCTGGGCATCCATTCCCCCACTCAGAACCACAAGGCCAGATGGGAAAAACCTGCAACAATTCACATCATACACATGGCCTTCCAATAGTCTCTGGAAAAACAAAGAACTACATGCTAGTTCCATTGTCATCACCCTCATGCCAAGCAATTTTTGAGCTATGACATTGGAGAGATGGGTGTTACCACGTGGGTGGAGGATTAAGCTCAGATCCTCCAGGTCTGCACTCCTGGGACAGATTTATCTGAATTCTAGGCAGGCAAAAAGGGACACTTTCAGCCTCACTCTGCTATGTGAACACTCACTGCAAAGCAAAGGAATTACATTTGTTTCTAATAACAGATTAAGTGTCACGGGCAGTTTCTCCTCCTCTTCTCTATCACAGAATAAAGCAGTGCCTGCAGCACGCAGGCTAGGAGCTGTCAGTTCCCTCCAGCAGTCCAGCTGTAACTCCTCATCTTCGAGCTCTCATCACACTGATGAGCATTCTCTCTTTTCAGAGCAGTTGTGCTTTCCAACAGTCACAGCAGAAAACCTCTAAGATGTACAGATTCCCATCAGCTTTTCAATCAAGAACCAGACACCTGCCTGCCCACAGCATGCAGACAGCCTGCCCCAGGTCATAGCTGGACACTGCAATGTCAGAGACAACACAAAACCAAATAAAGCTGCTGCTCTTACTCTTATTTCTCCATTTGCAGCCTGCCAGATCTTCATGGTCCCATCTGTGCTGGTAGACACGCCGAGGCCCCCACCACTGGAAATATCCAGACAGGTAATCTGCAGGAGGGACAAAACACACAATATGTTAGCTTTAGGTGATTCTGTACATAGCAATTCCTGCTCAAGAACGTACAACCCCACGGGAGATGTGCTAAGTACATCATCCAGCACAATTATCTCACCAAGACAGATTGCTTAACTCTTTAAAAACACCTGGAAGTGCCCATACATTCAGCTACAGATTTCAGCTCAGTAACACCCCCTAACATTTAACATCCTTAAGCTCACTGACTCTGTCTCCTCAAACTCAATACATTTTGAGCCACCAATTATGCCTTTACATGAAGAGAGGATAATGAAATGAACAGGTTGCCCAAGGAGGCTGTGGATGCCCCATCCATCCCTGCAGGCATTCAAGGCCAGGCTGGATGTGGCTCTGGGCAGCCTGGGCTGCTGGTTGGCGACCTGCACACAGCAGGGCTTGGAGCTGGATGAGCACTGTGCTCCTTTGCAACCCAGGATATTCTATGATGAGATGAGCTGGGGGACCAGAAGCTGGCACAAAGCACCCCAGATTTCTTCTAATTGCCACCAACCAGACACAAAAAAAATTGTTATTCTCTGCTTGTTTCACTGCGGAGATGTGCAAAGCAGAGAGAAGAGCAATGCTGAGTCAGAGAGCTGCATGGAAAGAGGTTGGATTTTAGGCTCACTCCAGATGAAGCAGATGAAGCTTGGATTTTCCCAGCAACTATCATATGCAGTTAAGCAATGAGCTAAGCTGCTCCTCACAACCCCAGATAACTGCACTCCCTGCCTGCCCAGCTTGCAGACACTGCTTAAGATACCTATGGAGCCAAAGTTTCCCAAAACACTGAACTAAAACTGATTTGATGCAAGCAGGCTGTCTCCTCAGAAGGGCTCTGTGACAGCAGGGTACAAACAACTGCATGCTCTGCGTTAACACCAGCACACCTGAGTACCTTGGAAGACAACAGATGTTAAACTCACACTCCCCTAACAGGATCACCATTCCCACAATGAAAGACATTACTGCTGCCACTGAGAAAGGAAGATGTGTTGCAGTTGTGGATGAAGTGATGTAAGGTAACAGGGAAACTACACCTGATATCATAGAACGGCCCGGGTTGGAAGGGACCTCAAGGATCATGAAGCTCCAACCCCCCCCACCACAGGCAGGGCCACCAACCTCCACATTTCACAGCAGCCCAGGCTGCTCAGCTCCCTCAGCCTGTCTTTGTAGGGAGGTGCTGCAGCCCTCTGCTCATCTCTGTGGCTCCTCTCCAACAGCTCCCTGTCTTTCTTGTGCTGGGGGCTCCAGCCCTGGACGCAGTGCTGCAGATGGGGCCTCACAAGAGCAGAGCAGAGAGGGACAATCACCTCCCTGTCCCTGCTGGCCACCCCTCTGCTGATGGAGCCCAGGATCCCATTTGCTTTCTGAGCTGCAGGAGCACACTGCAAGATAGAGGTTTCCAAATGGACTGCAATAAAAGGCAGAAAAAACACCTGGGTTTTGTTAGAGCAAGGGTTAACGGCAGCACTGCATCCTGCTGGAAGCAGTGAAGATGTCACTGCTGACTAGAAGAACGCTGCCTTCTCTTACAAGAATTGGAGGCTGTTGGATTCACACTGCATTACCTTCAGAACCTTCCAAGTGATTCTGTTTGCATTCTGTGGATTAAAAGAAAGCACTGCAGTGGCAAAAGCCACCGACAGACACGAGAAACACCAACCCACTGCGAGAAGTCACACTGAGGAATGCAGACTGCAGTTCTTATGGCACCTTATTGTGCACATGCATCACCCAGAGTTTGTGCCTCCACTTTAAATAAAGCCAGTTTGGGAATTAAAACAGGAGTTAGAAGATACTGAAGGAAAAGGCAGTGCCTTAGCTATTAAAAAAGCCATTAAACACGTTTACTTACATGTGGTTAACCTGGGCGATGCTTAATTTAACACCACAACCCGTGGCAATTTGCTCTCTGTTAAGCAAAAAGCAGCCTGTGAAGGATGTTACACAAGAACAAAACACCTCGCTGATGTATGGCACTCCCAGGTGCTCAGGAGGGATACAGAAACAGGCAAGGGCAAGCATGAGCACTCAGAACAAGCAGCAGCAGGTAAGCAGGGCAACAGGAGCTGAGCTTTAAACTCATCCACACATTAATGGATATTGCTTCAGCTGCTGCCAGAGGAGCTCTGTAGCACAGCTGCAAGCCATCACAGCCCTCTGACAGCAGACTCAACACTTCTGCCTGCATTTCCATTTTGCTATGCTGTGAATGTTGACTGCATTTATCACACAAAAGGGCAGCTGGGAACCCTTCAGTAGCACAGAGCTGAGAGAAGTGATTCACCTCTGCCTCAGGAGCTGCCTCTGTGCCAAGCCTGGGCTCAGCACAGCCCCACTGCCTTTTAAAACAGCTGCAGAGATGTGGAATTGCCTCAAAATGCCAAAAGGCATCTCGATTTATATTGCTGTTAAGCTTCATTAACACAAACTTTGCTTTTCAGCATTTTCTGCTGAGTTTATCACAACAATTTACTCAATAAATCACGAGTCAGGTGTACAGTGGAAGCCATCAGGGGCTCCCATTAGGGCAGCTGGCTGTGCGTGCAGGCTGCAAGCTCCATCATTTCTTGGATCATTTCCCTATCAGGGTGAAGCATTCAGCAAATGCACAGATCACTGCCCAGCAAAGCCAACTTTGTCTTCCTCCACAGTGCAAAAAGGAAATTTCAGGTCCAAGTTGGCTGCTCTGTATCAGGGAGGAGCTGTGCTTCTTGCACCCCCAGACTGCAAGGTGCAAGAAAGAGGATTGCTCCATAAAACAAGCAGGTCTCATTAAAGTAAGTGGCAAGTTGATGAACATACATTTTAAAATACAAGTTGAGCTTTTGTAGTCTCTGAAATCCCAACCAGATTAAGATGAATGCACACAGCATTCAATTCCTGGCTGCTCCACTGACCCTGCAAATGGAAGCTCAATGCAGCTGTGTTATGGCAAGCATCACAGACAGCTTCATTAAATGACAGCAAACGAGCACTGCAAACAGGAGGAGGTTTCATAAAAATGAAGAGCTCAGTGCACGGAGCCTCTTTTGTCTTGTGGGGTTTTTTTTTTTGGACATACTAATGCCTCTATCTAATGACTCCACAGTGGAATCCACCATGGAATAGAATATGAGCAGATTAGAGCACTTGCAAGAAAGTGGTTAAAAAGTGATTCTGTGAACCAAAGTGACAACTAGAAGAGGAAACGTTCCAAGAAGGCCACATCTGGTCTCTGTGGCACTGGGAAATTCAAGTTTCTTGTTGATCACAAAGAAAACAAACCTACCAGCAGCAGGGCCTTCTCCAAACTCATTTACTACCTGCAGCTCCATAACACCAGGTTCTGGTATCCACAGCTCAGCCCTGAGCATTCAGCCATGCTCTGTGCTGGGAAGCCAACCAGACTTCCCAGAGCACCCTCAGAAACCCCAGCCCAATTCCTCTCACATCCCTGTGGCTCTTTTAGCTGTCAGACTCCTCTACAACTACTCCTCTACTGCACCCCCTTGCAAGGAACAATAAATATACTCCAGTGCTCACATCAAAACTTTAATATGAAAAAAAATCATATGAAATAACCTAGGAAATACAGGGAAATCAGGAAATCACTTGGATCTTTTAATTGATTTATTATCAAAAGAGAAAATAAAGTCAGACTCAAATATTACCCAGTCCCAGTCAAGCATCCAGTTTCTTACAACTGTTACAAGGCAATTTGAACTTCAGGAACCTCCAGGAATATAACAGCACAAACAGCCATGAAATAAAACAGATCAGTTTTAAGAGGTAACACGCAAGCATCTATAGAATCTTGGACTTTTTTTGTGTGTGTGAAGCTTTACCAGCATCGTTGCTGTTATGTATAAGGTCTGATGTGGTTTACTAACCAGTTTACACACAAAGTTATCACTTGACCAGGAACAGAGCAGTCAGGTGCATCATGAAAGCATTCAGTCACTGCCAGCTATTTCTTACAGAGCAAGGTCACTTACACTTTTCTGATGAATCCTGGAAAAAGTTGTGTACGGTGCCAAGAATTTGGTGGATGCATTCTCATGAGGACAAGAAATGAGAATGCTTTTCTAGGGGAGAAAAGCACAAGTGCTGTTAGTCCTTCTGAAACGCTCGTAAACGCCTGGGGCACAAACAGCTTACAGCCAACTGGTGATGAGAGATGCAGAGAAATATTACCACATCAATTTCAACCTTTGAAAAGAACTCAAAGATCCCCAACCCCAGCCCAACCCCCACGACTTTGGAACACCTCCAGGGGTGGTAATTTCACCACATCCTGGGTAGCCGTGTAATGATGTGCATTACAACATTTTCAAAGCAGATTTTTTTTCCTCCTTTTCAATCTGACCCGTTCCCAGTGCAACTCGAAGCCATCAGCTCTCATCTTACAGCTGTCACCTGGGCTAAGAGCTCGACCACACTTCACTACAACCTCCACAGACACCTGAGCACCGCACAGAGGCAGACCAGGTGACAGCGACTGTTTCAGCTGCACGAAGGCTACGGCCCCTTCAGCTGTGGAAAGCAGTTACTAAGCCCACATTTCCCCCAGCCCTGTCACCTTGGTGACTTCGCCAACCACAAAGCCCTCGGAGGCAGCGATGTCAGGGACGCCATCGGTGCTGAGCCCACGGCGGGTCAGGCTGCCGTACAGCGTGGGCTTCCCTGCAGAGATCAGCAGCCATCAGCTCAACCTCCTCACATTTAACCCACAGGGTTCATCCCTAAACTACCTTCAACCCTCTTCTTAACCTGCAGGTGCCCACAAAACTATCCTCACACCCTCCTAACCACTGCTTCCTCCTCCTCCCTCCCAATAAACCATTCTCATTCTCTCTTCCTAATCCACAGCCCTCTGCTCCCTACCCCCAAAACCACTCTCACCACCTCCTAACACTCTGGAACAGGTTACCCAAGGAGGTTGTGGAGGCATTCAAGGCCAGGCTGGATGCGGCTCTGGGCAGCTTGGGCTGCTGGCTGGCAACCCTGCACACAGCAGGGTGTTGGAACTGGATGAGCACTGTACTCCTTTTCAACCCAGGCCATTCTATCATGATTCTATGACTCCTCTAAACTGTCCTCACCCTCTCCTCCTAACCTGTGGAGCTTCCCCATACTGTCATCACTCCACTCATCCTAACTCACAGTCCCCCCTCATATCATCTTCACCACCCACCCAATCCTCAGGCATCTCTCAAACCATCCTAACCCATGGGGTGCCCCCCAAGACATTCTCACCCCTCTACTTAACCCACAGCATCCCCCCACAAACCTCCAATCCTTTCCTAACCTATAGCGCTTCTTGCAAAACCACTTCTACTCCCTCCTTCTAACACACAGACCTCCCTCCTCACCCTCTCCGAACCCACACTGTCCACCCAAAACTATCTTCACTCCTGTCCTAACCCATCCAAAAACATTCCCACCCTCTCTTAATCAAAACGAGTCTCTTAAACTATCCCCCACCAAACCATTCTCACCCCTCCTTCCTAATCCACAGACTATTCCCACTCCTCAAACCATCCTCACCCTGTCCTTATCCCCAGAACACTCCCAAAACTGCTCTCATCACCTCAAACCATTCTCACCCCCTCCTAACTCCCACCAAACCATCTTTACCCACCTCTTCCTAACCCACAAGGCCTCACCAAGCCATCCTCACCCCCTCTTAACCCCGTTTCCCCAAACCAAACCACTCTCATTCCCTCTTCTTAACCTGCAGATTTATTTCTCTCTCCCCAAAACTCCCCTCACTCCCTACTCACAGCCCACCCCCAACCATCTTCATCTCCCAAAACCCCCAGCCACCTTCACCCTACACCTAACCTAAAAAGTCCCCCCCAAAACTTTCCCCACTCCCTCCATCTAACCCCCAGATTTCCCCAGAACCACCCTTATTTCTCTATCTCACGCCCCCTCTCAAAACGCCCTCCACTCTTCTCAATACCCCCACAACCTTCCTTACCCTCGTACCCCCTCCACAACCACCCTCAACCCTCCGACCCCACAGCTCCCAACAGGTCCCAGCTCCCTCGACCCGCGGGGTTATTTCTCCTTAAATGACATCCCCAGGCCACCACTCCACCCTTCAGCTCCCACCCCCCTCAGGCCGCACCACCCCCACCCAGGCGCTCCACAGGTCGCCCTCAGCGCTCACCCGGGCTGCGGCAGCTCAGCCAGGCCTCGCCCTCATCCCTCCTGCGGAGAGAAAGACCGGCGGTGACCGCGGGGCCGGGAGAAGGAGATTGGGGCTGGAAAGGGACCGAGGGGCAGCTCCCACCTCAGCGCCTGACTCCAGTCGCTCTGGATCCGCAGCGTCGCCGCCATCTTGACGCTACACCCCCTTCCTCTTCCGCCTTCCTCTTTCCCGTCAGCACCCACGCGGGGCGGAAGCGGAAGGTCCAGGCGCCCTCCAATGAGCGAGCGTTTCGCGACTTCTCCCCGCCCCGGAAGTGTCTACACGGAAGTCAGCTTTAAAGGGGCCGCGCAGAGTTAAAGAGGTATGGAGGGAGCTGAACCCCTATAGGGGATACTGGGGGAGGGAGGGTCTGGGCGCGTAGGAGGTGATGAGCCCTCTGGGTGTTGTATGGAGGCGCTCATATGGGTTTGGGATCCGCTGGATGCCCAGGGAGGGGTACGTGGGGGGTGTAGTGTGCTCTGGGGGGGCGTATGGAGGGTACTGGGTGATGTGGAGGACAGCTGAGAACCCATGGGCGTGTGGGGTGAGCTGGGGGGCAACATAGGGGTGCTGAGTATTCGTAAGGGTATGGGAGGTTGTGAGTGTCCTTGAGGCATATGGAGGAATACTGGGTTTTATGGGGGGTACTGGGTGCTCTGGAGGGTGTATGGGGATTGCTGGGCACCCCTGGGAGACACATGGGTGCTGTGGGGGTGCAGGGGGTTACTGGGTGCCCATAGAGGTATAGACGATGCTGGGTTCCACCGGGGGGGAGGGGAGGAGGAAGGGGGTGCTGAGCACTCATAAAGGTATGGGGAGGTTCTGGGTGCCCTGAGGGTTGCATGGGGATTTCCAGGTACCCGTAGAGGTATGGGAGGTGCTGGGTGTCATGGAGATTGTATGGGGTGTATCCATAGGCTGGGGGGGGAAGAAAGGTGGTGGTTCTGTACCACCTAAAAAGAAAATGCCCCCAATCATCAGAGCAGTCATGGGAGGCAGCACCCTGATCTTCCATCACCCTCCAGCCCCGCTCTAGGAACCGGAGCTATGGCAAAGCCTGGACATGCCTGGAGCCGTCCTAAATCGCAGGAGGAAGAGGAGGAGGATCCAGTGGAGGCCATGGTGTCACGGACGGGCTGTGCAGAGCAGCACTGGGCACTGCAGGAGTGCATGGCAGAGCAGCGGGACTGGCGGCGCTGCCAGGCTCAGGTCCAGGCCTTCCGGCAGTGCATGGCCCGGCAGCAGCGCCCACACCCTGAGGAGCTGCACCCCAACCCACCCCAATGCTCCCCCCATGGAGATTGAAGCTCCCAGGACTGAACCTCCAGGAGGGACACTGCACCAGGCACCCTGACAGCTCTATCAGTCCCCCAGAGATGTGGGCTGTGCTATGGGACACATATCCTGTTATTTTTCCTATTTTTTTTTTTAAAGTGGATTGTTATCTTGCTTCAATCATCTTCATTTTAAGCCAGGAAATTAAATGTGATGGCATTTCTCCTAGCTGAAGAACTCATGTCTTTATGCAAAGCACAGAGGGGACTGCTGCACTATGGCAGTACCATACAATAAAGGTTTAATCAATGAGGCAGCAGCCCAAAGCACTGGGGTACTCACACCAGGATTTCCACTCTACCCTTCTCAAAGCTTTCAGCCTCTGGAGGGTGAGCTGCTCTCTTCTGGGAAGGCCCAAAAATATTTGGGGTTGGAGAAGAAGGGAGGTGAGGTGCAGCCCCACTGAACCTCGTAGCAAATCAGCTGTAAAAATGGACTCAAATCCTCTCTTGGTTTGGAAGGGAAACTTGAGATTTCTGTAGGTCTTCTACAGACCCCAGATATAGCAAGGAAATGGCTCATTTCCTGATGAAATGTATCAGAAAATACATCTTTTTCTAATCTCCTCTAAGCATCCAAAATAAGGCTGAAATTCAATTAGAGCATACCTACCCAATGGATAGCATGATCAGGTGGTCTCAGCCTAAATTAAAGCAGCTTTAGAATGGTTTGGGTTAGAAACGGAATGGTTTGGGTTGGAAGAACCTTAAGGATCGCCCAGTTCCAACCTCCCTGCCTTAGGCATTCAGAAATACAAGGAGAAGAGCAGAAACTTGGGTGCTGTAACCTCTTCCACTTCGTGTCCACGTGGATACCTACAAGCAGCAGCTCCCTTCTCCTACAAAGACAGGCTGAGGGAGCTGGGCTTGTTCAGCATGGAGAAG